TACTACTTTACAGAGGGAAGTCCTCTGTTTGAAGATGGCCACTTCCTGAAAGCTTGCCAAGACCCAAATCACTTTAATTGAGGACGGACAACTTGTGGCCTTCCAGAATATGCTCCACATAGCGTACACCCAAGAACTGGAGATGGTGGACCATCGTTGGCTAGTGACATTTGGAAGACAGATATCCTTGCCCTCTCAGAATCTTGAATTCATTTATTATGTTTACAGACAGAGACAGATGCCCTTGTGCTATAACGGTGTGCCCCACTATACAATGGAAGGACAGATCCTGAAGCTGAGGCTACAATACTTCGGCCATCTCATGAGAAGAGTAGACTCCCTGGAAAAGATGCAGATGTTGGGAAAGTGTGAAGGCAAGAGGAGAAGGGGACGACAGAGGACGAGATGGTTGGACAGTGTCATCGAAGCTACCAACATGACTTTGACCCAACTCCAGGAGGCAGTGGAAGACAGGAGGGCCTGGCATGCTCTGGTCCATGGGGCCACAAAGAGTCGGACACAACTTAACAACTAAACAACAACGACAAAACCACTATGCAACCTCCCTTCTCTACAGAACTTCCTGTGGACACTGTTGTCTTGGAAGACCACAGATGCCCTGCTTTTCACTCTAAAGACGAAGGTATAATTCTCAGTCCTCCACCTGCCAATCTACTCCAAAGGTGGGGGGGGGGGAGAAAGGCTCCTCTTGAATCCAGCAACTTTTCTGCACACTTCCCTACCTGCTGGAGAAGCAAGAGATAAACAGCTCAGGAGCTGGATTTTCAAAAATGTTCCAGCTCTAAGGGGACTTCTCATACTCAAGAGATGATGGGAAAGAGGTCCAGAGAAATCACCTGAAATTGCAAGGCGTTTTTCTGGACTCTAGATTTCTCTGGCAGGAAACCACCGCATTTTACTTCCTTGGCCCAGAGAATGCCCCCCTGGAGGTCTGGGAGTGTTGGAAAACTAGCCAGCAGCCAGTCTGTAGAAGAGAGTGTATTCAGAAGTGGTTTGCCATTCCCTTCCTCCAGAGGGCGCCCTGAGACTGTGCAGCTTTCCCAAAGCCACACAGGCTGGCTCTACTCATAAGAGGCACGGTGGGGAATTGAATTCCTAACCTCTGGTTCTGCAGCTAGATATCTAAAACAACTGAGCTATCGGGCCAGCTGGTCTTAGAGAGATGCTACTTTTCAAGTCTGGCCTGATAACCACACCTTTGGGATTTAACACCCTTCCCTTAACTACTGTTATTTAAAAAATGGTGGGAAAGGAAAGACACTTTGCATGTGCTTAGATACATTTTCCTTTACTGTTTCTTCTTATGTTCGAGGGTGAATATTTGCACATAGCACAGAAGCCTTGTTTTTTTTTTATTGAGCCTTCATTACTCGTGAAAAAGTATAAGGAATGGACCAGTTAATGTATGTTTTTTCTCTTTGTAAAATATCAAAATGTGAACTTGAAAAACCTGCCAAAATATTAAAGTGTTATTTGGAGGTAAGGTTCTCCTCCAGATGCTCCTTCCTGTTTGAATGGGCGAGGCAGGTGTGTAATAATAAGGCCTTGCTTAATTATGTTTCGGCTTCAGGTAAAATGTTTTTATTTGCATGTTAAATTATGGTCCTGGCATTTTATTATTTCAGTCGTTCTTAGCACTGGCATCTACTAAGCATTGTACACTGGTTCAGCTGCAGTCTGTCCTTGCAGGATTACAATGTGAAAGACGTGACACAGAAGGAAAAAAATCAGGAGGGTAAAGGAAAGCCCAGTCAGAAATCAGCTGTAAACATGGAAAGGGCATAAAAATGACTATTTTTGAATGTGAACAGTTGAAATGGCAGTAGGTCTCTCAGCTGAGCCAACAGAAGAAGAGGCTATAACAAGCCATACATCCATAGCTAGTCTCAGAAATGTTACACGTGTGTGTGTGTGTGTGTGTGTGTCCAGCACCCACCATCCTCAAGTTCTGTAAGTTGTAGTCCCTAAAACAGCGCCTCCCAAGCTTTTTCAAGTTGTGACCCCCTTTTATAATAGCCAAGTAACCCTGCCACATTTTCTTTAAAAGGCATTTTTAATGGGGTAAAGTCATCATCCCTTCTCAGAAAGTAGAGGCTTTCTCTCCCCTAAGGATTTGTTCCTCGTACATACACACACACTCTAATGTTAACATCCCGCTCTGAAAAGTCAAGGAAGAAATTATTTAAGAAGGGCTACAACATATATAAGACGACTTGCGATCTCCTGGAAAACATTTTGTGACCCCCCCCCTTGGGGGTCATGATCCCCAGGCTGAGAAACGCTGCCATCAAAGCAATGTTTTCCAAGCTCCAATCTTTACTTCCAAACCTGTGAAACTGGTTAGGCAAGAAACCCTTTCTCTCTGTTCGCCAGAGGTAAACTGACAGTGTCCAAATATATTTAATAACTCCTATTTAACTCCTGTTTGATATTTAAGATGGCTGGATAGCTCAGTGGTTTAGGTATCTGACTGCGAAGCCAGAGGTTGGGAGTTTGATTCTCCACTGTGCCGCCTAAAGAAAGAGCCAGCCTGGGTGGCCTTGGGCAAGCTGCACCATCCCAGGGCACCCCAGAAGAAGGGAAAGGTCAACCACTTCTGAGTATTCTCTACCTGGAAAACCTTGAAAAAAGTTAGAATTCCCTTGATGGCAGATAATTATTATTATTTAGTACTTATAATATTGATTAGCAGAAGTAATAACCTAGAGAATTGAGACACATGGATTTTGTATATTGAAAATACTTAGTAGGGTACTTTCCTAGTTTCGTCATACCCCTTAGAACTGAGGTCAGCGTCTTTTGCCAAGCCATCAACGGCCAACCGCCAAAATGGGCACTTAATCAACTCCAGTTTCTAGTTCAGTATCCTTCAAGGGTCAGGGTGGGGAATGAAATAGAGAAGATTTCAGAAGTAGTTGCTTTTCAAAGGAGATAAAAAAATTTAGCAAACTAAAACTTAACTCACCAAAGTGCCTTGCAGCTGGAGAAAGAGATGATGCTGCCCACTTGGAACTCCGGACTTGTCTTGTCTCTTGGCCAGTCACTCCAAGACAAAGGGAGTTTCTTTCACAGAAGAAAACAAAATTGGGGGAAGCTTCCATGGAGGGAAATTGAAACCATCCAATCAATTGCATGGGAAGACCTGATCATCTGCCATCCAGGAGATTCCTGCAGGTGGTGTTCAAGGGAGAGAGTCAACCTGCAGGCTCTGCATCTAAAGCTTCTTAGCTATATGTCTGGACATGTGCTTTGATCAGGAACATCTCCTAGGCAGAGCCACAGGGGAAACAGAAGAGAGGAGAACCTGAGCACTGCTGTCTCATCTCTCCTTCTGCAACAGTCGGATAGAATAACTGCTGCTAAATAATAGCCAAAGAAGGCAGAAGTCAAAAGGCTGGTCTCCTCTCTGAGCACCAAGTTTGGAAAAATGGTCCTGGTGGGTGTGGGATTCTGACCGTTCAGCCTGGAAGCAGGCGGTGCATCACGGCCTCTCCCAATTTGAAGAGACCCTTGTCCAGCAGGCCGAGGCAAAGAGGCAGTCCCGAAAGCAGCAAAATCAGGGAGCTGGACAGGGGACAGGTTGCCTTTGTCTTCAGTGTGGAAGGGATGGTCACTCTCGAATTGGCCTTTTCAGCCACACTAGACGCTGTTCCAAATCCTCAATACAGAGCATGTGACCATAGTCTCTTGAGACTGAAGGATGCCTAAGAAGTCAAAAAAAAAACCAACACCCAACTTTTTCAAGCTCTTAATAAACCTAAGTGAACCTGTCCCTGCTGTTCTGTCTTATCCCTTCTATTTCCATCTTTATCACTGTTCAACACATGGTCTATTTTCAGAATGACTTATTTTTTCATGCTTTAATATTTAGGTTTGCTTGTTTTGTTCTTTTAAACCGGTGATTTATTATTTTTCTGGCCACACATCACTGTTTATGGAGGTGACTCATAAACGGTTGAAATGAAATGAAATGAAAATTCTGGCATTTGAGATGAGACCACTCCAAATCTTTATGATCAGTGGTTTTGCTGAAATTCCCAGGGTGGTGGAGTGGATAGAGTGCTGGACTAGGACTCTGGAGAACAGAGTTCAAATCCCCACTTGGCCACGGAAACCTGCTGGGGAAGCGAAACCAGCAAAACCTCTCCTTAGATATCTCAATTACCTTGAAAGCTCTATAAGGGTTGCTCTTGGAGATGGGCAGGGACCATTGTTTCTGCAGTTCATGCCAATTCATCTTTTGGACGAACAGGTGTTCAGTGCTTCCTGACTCCTCCTCCCTTGGTGTCTACTCACTCAAAGGCAGCACCTGGAGGAGGTGGGGGAGGGAAGCTGGGTGCCTGCCAGAGGTGACGGGGTGGGGAAGCGCTGAACGCCTGTTCGTCCAAAGGACGAACTGGCACAAACTGACAAACTGGTTCGTGTCCATCTCTTGTTGTTGTAAAGCGGTTCTGATTTCATAGCACTACACACACACACACACACACACACACCCCTATAGAATTGCTTTCATTAGACTATTAGTAAATGCTCATGTGTTAGCCACTATAGAATTGCTTTCATTAAACTATTAGTAAATGCTCATGTGTTAGCCACTCCGCAGGTCAGGCAGCTCTGTTGATCTCCAAGTGCTGGCAGGACCAGCAAGTCATTCAGAAGGTTCTGAGTGGGTCCAACACACCATTTTGCAATGACTGGGTCAGGTGGCCCTTTCAGGGTCCCTATGCTGGTGCTGTTGTTTTGAAAGAACAAAGAGTAGCAATGGAGGCCACATAAATCCTGAGAGATTCATTGACATATCTATCGAAAAAGGCAGGGAGATTTAATGAGAGAAAATATACAACGGAAGTGCTGTATGCATGTAGGAGATGCATGGGGGTTTGGGGGTCACTTCTGTAGATCTAACTGTTTACGTCTTGTTTTCTCATCTCTCCACATCCCCCTCTTCAACTTTCTCAAATCAAGCGGAACCCATCTGGCAGCCGAGCGTGAGAACCCCAGGAGCCCATTTGAGATTGGGGGAGGCCTGCTTCACGCCCGGCACACCATGGAGAAAGTCACGGCCAGATCCGGCCAGAACAAGGCAGGGAGATCCGCTGCAAGCATTTTGTTCAGGTGGAAGAAATCAGCCCCTGAGTCGCCCAAGGAAGACGTCAAACCTCCGATCTGCAAAGCGTCGAGAAGCCACGAGAGGGAAAGTGCCCGAACCAACAGTCCTTCTAGAGTTTCGGTGTTGCTTGAGGCTTGGGAGAAAGGGCTTGTAGGAACGGACACCTCGGAGCCACCCAAGTCTTCAGACAACAGGCGCTCCCGCTCTCCAGGGCACGGCCGGCGCTTACGGTTTCCCAAAGATGCTCCTCACTCTCTTTTCCCATCGACTGCCAGGGGGTCTTCTTCCCCGTCCGCTTCCTCCGCAGACGTCAGGCGGTCCCTTTCTCCACCAGATACCAGGAGATCCTTCTCTTCAGCAGATACCAAGCAGCCTCTTTCACCCACCGAATGCCGGAAGCCGCTTTTCCCAACAGACACCCAGCCCTCCTTTTCTCCAGCAGTTAACAAGCGACCTTGTTTCCTAGGAGACTCAAGGAGGTCCCTTTCTCCAGCAGGTACCCGGCCCTCCTTTTCCCCGGATGAGAGCAGGTGGTCTCGCTCTCCAGCGGATACCAAACAGTCTTCTTCACCAGCAGGCCGTAGGAGGTCCTTTTCTCCAGCAAGTGTCCAGCAGTCCCTTTCCCCCGCAAACAGCAGGCGCTTCTGCTTCTTGACAGATGGCCCGGGCTTGCCTTCCTCAGCAAGTGCCCAGAATCCACTTTCTCCAGTGGAGAGTCCACACTCATCTCCCACAGCAGAAAACCATGGTGTGTCTTCTCCAGTGGACAGTCAATATTCCTCTCCTTCAACAGACACCAGGTGCTTCCCTTCTGTGGCAGATATAAGGCGCCTATACTCCTCAGTGGATTCTAGGATCCCATCTTCCCCAATAAGCTCCAGGCAGGAATTTCCCTCAGGAGAAAGCAAGTTCTTGCGTTCCCCATCAAACACAGGGAGGTCACCTTCCCTGGCGGACACCAAATGGCCATTTTTACCAGCTGAATCCACGTGCTCATCTTCTTCAGTGGACACCAGGCGTTCATCTTTCCGAGGAGATCTTACCTACTCATCCTCCTCACCAGACGCTAAATGCTTGTCTTCCACAGAGGATAACAAGGCCTCCTCTTCCTTGGAAGAGTCTGGAAGCTTCTCTCCCACATCACCTGAGACCCATTCCAATTCTCTTAGCCCACAGAGAGATTTTGCAGCTCACGGACCTGTGTTTGCTCAAGTGTATTCCCCAGCTTCGAAGCCAAAGAGTCAGGGAAAGACAGAGATGCAAGAAGGTCATAGCACTCTCGGATCCATGTCCCAGAAAGAAAACTACTCCTTCGATGCTGCTAAGACCTTTCTGGCTGCAGGACTTCAGGGAGAGAACAATCTTCCAAGCACGGAGATACCCCAGGAGGGAGACCATTCTCCCGGTGACATCAACATGAGGGCAGAGGAATTCCACAGGGAAAGTCCTGTGCCAAACAGTGCCACCATCGTTCCTGAATCTCTGAGAGAAAGTATTTCGCACAATGCCAACATGCCTAGGTCCCAGACAGAAAGCTACCCCTCGAGAGCTGCCCACACTGCTTTATCCTATGGAGGAAACTATATGCCCACTGCCACCAGCTCAAGCCCTGATGAGTCCTGTGTATTAAGCACCATGCCCTGCGTTGTCAGCTCCAGCACTGTAGCCAGATCCCAGACCCAGTGGTATGGTCCCAACGGTAGTAGCACGGTCGTCTTCCGATCTGAACGGCAGGTCATCGTACCGCAAGCCGGAACTGCCACCATATACAGAGCGGGACGTGAGGTCGTCATGTCCAGCTCTGGAACGGGGAGCGTGAACAAACCCCAGCCAGAGAGATCTCTCCCCTCCAGCTGTATCACCTGCGTTCCATCCAAAGAAAACTGGCAGTCCAAGGGGGATCTCCCAGAGATCACGTCCCCCAAAGGATTCCTCTCTTCCCTCTCAGAGGCTCACGGTTACTCCCAGAAGTTGCAGCCAGAAAGTTTCATGACTCAGACCAGAAGTGCCGAGGCAAAGGATGCCCAAAGGCAAAGGTGTACACTTGAGCCCAAGCCTGCGTTTGCGTCAAACGGAGATGCTACCACAGTCAGTGAGGGAGTTGCTCCTTTCAGGATCCCCGAGAGAGACTGCAGCCTCCTTGATGAAACTGCCTTCGAGAGGCACAGCAGCCTGTTCCCAGCAAGCCGATCTGAAAGGAACCAAAGCATGCCTCTCCCAGGAGGCCCTGTTGCCAATGGACCAGAACAGGACAACAGCGTGTCAAGGGTTGAGAAAGCCAGTACCTGGGGTTGCCAGGGAATTTGGTGCTCACCAGATAATGCTGAAGATCCCGGGATCTGTAGGATGTCCACTGGATCACAGGAAATGGCTCCAAGCAAAGAGGAAGACGCCTGCCAGAGTGAGCTAAGAGATGAACAACGAGGTCCAAGAACGGACTCCTCAGTATTTGCTACAGAATCCAACATTCCCCTTGATCACATGATAGACTCTTCCCAGGAATCTGTGAGCCAGAAAACAGAAAGTAGGGACAGGAGAGATGAACCGGAACCCGAGGAAGCAGCAGACATGGTCCTTTTCGTGGATACTCTTCGCAACATGGAGCCCGCTGACCTCCGAAAGCCCTTGAAACTCCTCCCCAGACCTCCACGCCCCTCAGCGCTGGCAAAGCACACACCCCTCCCGCCCATCCATGAGGACCACGTCGCCCCCAAGTCTCAGATTTCCCTCCCAGCATCTCTAGGTGAGCTGTTCACGCTGACCGAGGAGAGGCACCTAGAGGAAGTGCCCAAGAAGGAAGACGAAGCGGTTGCTGAAGAAGACTTGGAGGAGATCGAGAATCCGTACCCCAGTAAGGAGGACACACAGGAGGATAAAAACCAGGCTGGGAAAACTTACCCTTGGGAAAACAACACCTTCAAGACCGAGGAGGAGTTTGGGTCCTTCCTGGGGAAGCTGCAAAAAAGCTTTGAGGACCCAGAACCCAGAGGCATTGCTCCAAAAGCAATAGCTAACCAAACCAACATGATCAGAGCCAACATTCTTAAAGGCATGTCTATTTTGTCTAGCTTCTCAGAACGGAAGGCGGTGGAGGAGAATAAGCCTTATTCCCGCCTGGACAACAGCCTCTTGTACAGCAGGTTCATTTCCCCGGAGAAGGCTCAACTCAAAGATCCAGCAAAAGGGAAAGAAGCAAGATCCTCCCTGATTCCCTTGAACCCAGCTGGAGTGAAAATTAAGAGGGAAGGGCAGGCATCTCCAAATGGCCCTTGGCTTGAAGGCACATACGGACGTCTGAGCTGTGAGTCGTTGCCATCAGGGCGACCCGATCCTTCTTCCAGGCTGCCAGGGGCCAGCAGAAACTCCAAAGGGATGACTGCTCTGGTCAAGGAGGCCAAGACAGCATCAAGGTCAGAAGTTCAGGTAAGTGGATCTGTGCTGTGCAGCAAAGCATGTAGAGCTAGCTGGTGGGGGCTACCATGATGAGCCCAGATGATCTCTTGATTTCTCTCTTGGGGAGTGAGAGGAATGGGGGCCAATTTCGTCCTGAAACCAGAGTATAGTACTGTAGATCGTTTAGTCGGTGTGGCTCGGCTTGCCCACTAGTGTAGAATTAGCAAGTCCCAAACATTTATATGGTCTGTTCTAGTTGGGATTAGGAACTGGATTCAGGTCTCTGTCTTCAGCCTTTGCTAGAGTGGCTGGCACAGCATCCGAGAGATGCCAAAAGGCTTGCACAGAACCTGCCTTCAAAGGGCTAATGATTATAGGACCAAAACCTCCTCGGTCTTCACTTATCTGGAACATTTTCTATTGAAGTCACTGGGTGTTGGACTTGAATGAAGAGCGCAAGGGCTTAGCTTGCATTATGTTGTTGTTGAACTCCTTTAAGCGTCTGCTGAAGTGTCGGCCGTGTTCATTAAAGAAATGCAAGGCAAGCCAAAGGGCCCCGTTTGGGTGGGAATATGAACAAGACCTGTGTGAGCCACAGATCACAATAAGTCTTAAACGTCCATTTATTCGTAGAATCTATAAAACATTGCAAACCAAAGATATCAGGGCAGTTGATCATGTATTTAAACAAACAAATATGAGAAAGTTGCAGTCAAGCCAAATGCATGAATAAAACTGATTGGAAATTATAAGATAGAAAATGCTAGACCTAAAAAAAACTTCGTACAGTAAACACTGATCAAACACATTTGGGACGCTAGGCGCATTAAGCACCAGTCTTAAACGTCCATTTATTTGTAGCATCTATAAAACATTGCAAACCAAAGATATCAGGGCAGTTGATCATGTATTTAAACAAACAAAGTTGCAGTCAAGCCAAATGCATGAATAAAACTGATTGGAAATTATAAGATAGAAAATGCTAGACCTAAAAAAAACTTCGTACAGTAAACACTGATCAAACACATTTGGGACGCTAGGCGCATTAAGCACCGTTGGAAGGGAGCCAATCATACTGAAGAGTCCTTATTACCATATGGATCTAAGACCCACTTTTACCCAAAATGTGGCACCCTTATTTAATCCATTACTATATATACCAAATTTTATATATGGTTCTTTTTATTTGGCTTAAAAAAAGTTTATTTCATGACTCATTTTATTCATTAGTTTCAGTGAGTCTGCTCCAATGGTAAAGTCTGGATCCAAGCCACTATTTCTGGAGCAAGTATTATATTTTCTTTTTGGTAATGCACATGCGTGTCAGAATGGGCATGTCTTAAAACAGGTGCATTCCCTTCCATGCAGGAAAGACGGTAGAATGGCTCTTTTTAACCCCGTGTTTCCCATCAGCAGCTTTTATAAAGTACAGTAGTAGTCTTGTGGTTATACAATGTTGCCCAAGTAATTGTGTTTTCAGTCAGATATTTTGAGCTGATTAATCTAACCAAATAAAAGGCTTAATTAGCTAAAAAAATAGATGGACGAGGCAGTAAATATGTCTATGTATGTATAAGTGTGCATGCAGATGTATGTAATTTTAAATACTCACCTCTCCATAAGTCAATCCACTGCCCCAAGCTATTTGCTGTCACTTTAAATACTTGCCTCTCCATAAGCGTGCGGTCAATCCACTGCCCCAAGCTATTTGCTGTTAGTTCCAATGTACACACATTTAAACATTGAATATGATGCATAGAGCTGAGTTGTGCTTTGCGTGCCCAAAAGCAGTTGCATAGACTTAAATGTTCTTGCATTCTGAAAGATAGCTGGAGATAGTAGAAGTTGCTGGAGGGTTGTTGTTGTTTCCCCCCAACCTTGCATGCTGCCTTTAGTAGATTTGGCTGGCGGGGGCTTTTCTGGGCTGGAGTGACTGTCATCCTATCCAGCACGACCTAATCCTTCCTTCCCACCTCTGCGTTTTAAGAGAGAGAGACTTCTCTGCTCAATTTTTCCCCCAACAGTTTTCTGCTGAGGTCTGTTGCTGTCATATTTTTAAGTTTTGCTGTAAATAATGGAAGCTTTTTATTCTTTCTCTTACTAAAGCCCCAGAGTGAGTTATTGAGACTGTAAGTTTGATCTGTAAATAATGGAAGCTTTTTTATTCTCTCTCTTACTAATGCCCCAGAGTGAGTTATTGAGACTGTAAGTGCCCGTTGATGAGGAAATGGGAGTTCTACTCTTGAAGCTATTCTGCTCTGTAAATCCCTACAATTCTGCTGTGCAGCTAGAGGAACTTAACCAAACATTCAAAATTCTGTAACAGAAGTTCATAAACACCACATTATTCTAAAGCCAGTTGTTTTGTGGCCTTCTTCTTCACTGGCGTTCTACTTATTTGACTGATATATTTTTGCAAAGTGAAAATTAACATATTTGCGAAGGCTTTGTGAAAATTAACAGCTGATTTATAGTATAGAACCATAACTTTGCAGGCCAAATGAAACGTTTTCCCCATGGCATTGCAGGATTGAGAGAGAATATTGAGATTTTTTACAGGGGCAAGCATATCACTTAAGGTGGAAGGGAGTTACTTGCATTTAAGAATGTAGCAGAAGTTTTCTTCCTCTGCTTCCTCTTCTTCTTCTTTGAATTATAGCTAAGAGTAGCTGCCATTCTATTCTAGGAAATAAATTTTCTTGAAAAGCATACTGTGCAGTAAGAAAGGAATGGGAAGGAGTGGCACCTGTTTTTCCCCCCGGGGTGTTCAGTTCCTGTAAAGCCAGGATGTGGAACCTCCATGTACAGGCTTTGCATGCTTGAAAGCTTTTCTACCACAGACGACTCCTGGGTGGCCATGTGTCTAATTGAACTGTGCTTGCTTTGCACGATAGGAAGTGGTCAGGTTGTGGAAAGTTACTTTTGACACTTCCTGTCCCATACTCTGCCCACTTTTGAACATGGATCTTCCTTGGTCCAAGACCCGTTTCCAAATCAGATCTCAGCCCTTGAGATAAAAAAAGGTTCCTCACTCCTGCTTTCAACATATTTAAATGGGCACATTTCAAACTCCCCCAGAGTTTGGGAAATAGTTTGGCATACATCCCTATTAAGTGCAGATTTAAAAAAAACAACACATACTTCAAATTGACGGAGTCCAAGATTGTGTGGGGAAAGGGTTTAACTCTTTCATCTCCCACAGTTTGACATGCTGAAAATCTACAACACTTGAGGACAGCAGTGCGGTCATATCCATAGTTCCCTTCATGCAGACCTATGTGGATATACACAGTTGTGCATGTGTGTCCGCATACACATACTATGCCCTTCCTTTTTTCTTTTTTCAGAAGAAAAAGTGGCTGATTCTGAGCATTTTTTAAAAGTTTGTCATAACTTGTATTTAGCCTAGACCATTAGAATCCAGAGCTGGAAAAGTAACTTTTTAAAAAGTACAGTGGACCCTTGACTTACAGACGGCTTGACTTACAGACTTTTTGAGTTACAGACTTCTCTGGCCGCAAAATGTAGGTTTGACTTGCAGACTGAGATTTGACTTACAGACCAGAAAAAAACCAAAATGGAACAAAAACGGCCTGTTACGGGATTAATCGGTTTTCAATGCACTGTAGGTCAATGGAGACTTGACTTACAGACTTTTTGACTTGAGAACTGCCTTCCAATACGGATTAAGTTCTCAAGTCAAGACCCCACTGTACAGTTCCCAGTATTCCCCAGACAGCATGGTGATTAGCTTTGTTGGCGGCTAGCTGTGAGATTCTAGGATTTATCCTTGAGAAAACCAACTTTTCAAAACTCTGCTGGGAAACAGGAATGATTGGGTTGAAGCAAGAGGGGCCAGAGGAACGACAGCTTTGCGTAGTGGCTAGAATTTGTACTAACATTTGAAAGACCTGGATTCTAAACCTTATTGGGATATGAACCTGACTGGGTAGCCTTGGGCCTCTCCCACACACTGAGCCTGACCAACCTCAGAGGTCTGTTGTGACAGCAAAAGGAGGCAGAAGGAGAGCTATTTACACGGTTCCGTTGGATAGAACAAAACAAAAAGACCAAAAAAATTTATAAAGCCAGATATTTGGAAAATAACCTGTTCTCTTTTCTCACATTTTCTGCAGTTCCGGGAAGAAAATAAGATTTTGAAGAAGGTTAACGTGAGGCCTGGAAAGGTATGGAGCAAAAAAGGTTCCTAGCATGGGATGGATGTATTTGTAAGAGAGAGGAGCATTTGGCAGTTAGAGTCCCTCTGCCAACAGGGATAACAGCCATGCTACCTGGGGATTCTGGAAGCAGTCATTTTAAAAAAGACACACGTGTTCCCAGTCTCTATGTATTTGATGGCTTTCTATCTATCACTCACTTTAGATCATTTTGTACTCTGAGTCGGGCTTTGGAGGTCAGAAGAGAGACATCTGGGGCGATGTCACCGATGCCACATCGTGGCTTCTCTCCCATACCATTTCCATCCAAGTGGTCCGAGGAGGGTAAGTGAACCACTGTCTGAGTTACTGTAAATTGAGCTGGAGAGGAGAATTTAGCTGCATTTAGCTGTATTCAGGCAGTAAACAAGGCTCCGAGGAGAAGTGGAAAGAAGGCACTACAACACTACATTCAGTGGAGAAGACAATAAGATTAGGAAAAGTTGAAGGTAACAGGAAATAAGGAAGACCAGATGTGAGATGAATTAACTCCATAAGGGAACCACACAGCCTTGAGTTTGCAAGATCTTGGCAGGGCTATTAATGAGAGGAAAATTTGGAGGCCGCTAGAGTTGCCATGAATCAGAGGCTACCTGATGGCACATCATAACAACAACACAATGTCCTGTAGTAATGATAGTGGCCACATTGGTCGAATTAACGCCATAAGGGAACCACAGCCTTGAGTTTGCAAGATCTTGGCAGGGCTATTAATGAGAGGAAAATTTGGAGGCCGTAGAGTTGCCATGAATCAGAGGCTACTTGATGGCACATCATAACACCAACACAATGTCCTGTAGTAATGATAGTGGCCACATTGGTTTGTTTTAAAGAATTGCCTTATATTGCATTCATATTTCATTCTTCTATAAAGAGCTCAGGAAGGTATCTGTCATTTTTCCTGCCCAATATATGGGCTGCACAAGAGTCTTGTGAGATAGGTTAAGCTAAGAGATACTGACTGGCCCATAGCCTTCCTGAAAGCTTCCTGGCTGAGTGGAGATTTGAATCTGGCTTTCCTTGATCTTAGAACCTTAGAATCATAGAATAATTGAGTTGGAAGGGCCCTATAAGGCCATCAAGTCCAACCCCCACCTCTGTGCAGGGATCCAAATCAAAGCAGACCGGACAGGGGGTTGCCCAGTGTTCTCTTGAATGCTTCCATTCCAGAGGTCATTAGTTCCGTTTTCGTACTGCTCTAACAGTTAAGACATTTTTCCTACCTCTGTGCAGGGATCCAAATCAAAGCAGACCGGACAGGGGGTTGCCCAGTGTTCTCTTGAATGCTTCCATTCCAGAGGTAATTGGTTCCATTTTCATACTACTCTAACAGTTAAGACATTTTTCCTGATATTCGGCATAAATTTGGCTTCCTGTAGCTTGAGCCCATTATTACATGTCCTATACTCTGGGATGATCGAGAACTGATCTTGACCTCCCCTCTATATGACTGTCTTTCAACTATTTGAAGAGTGCGACCTCTAATCACTCAGCCATGTTGATTCTCATTCATGAATTAATTATGACTGTGTTACATTTAGCTCTGGCCCTTCCCCTGGTGAGATGAAAGTGGGGTAGGTGGCTTTTCTTTCCCTCAGTTTGTACTCACAGAAACACGGTGGGTCGCCTCAAGCTGAGGGAGAAAGACTGGGCCAAGATTGGAGTGGATGACGTTGCAGATAAAGTGGGAAAGGCAGAATTATTTACCTTCAGCTCATTAGAGGAAAAGTGGGATATGAAAAACAAACTTGTGATCTAATGAACCGAAGCTTAACCTGCACTCACTCTGACATGTCTCTGCTGTTAAAACAAAAAGCCTTGTGGGTCACATCATTCTGGCAAGTGTTTGTATACTGGAGAAGTACAGTTGAGGAAACTTTCTGCCTTGAAAAGTGGCCCAGCCTTGTGGGTCAGATCAGAGAAGTACAGATGAGGAAACTTTCTGCCTTGAAAAGTGGCCCAGAATACAAATCAGGCTTACCATTCCACTTGAGACGCCTTAAACGAATGAATCCTTTCCTATGCCTTCCAGATGGGTGATGTATGAGAAGCCCCGGTTCCATGGGCGGAAGTGTGTGCTTGCCGAAGGCGATGTGGAGATCAGCAATCCTTGGAGGATATACGATAAAGAAGGGGAAGGAGCTGAGAATGCACCGTTCTGCATTGGTTCGCTTAGAAGAGTTGTGTGTGTAAGCAACAGGAAAGAACTTCCTTGTAGGTTAAGGTGTTTAATCCTTTTGGATTAAGCCACACGGCAATGTGGGGCTGTGCCACACCTATGGGAACATCAGAAGTGGCTTTCTGCTGGGCCTCAAACTAGAGATCCATAGAGCCTGTCATTAGAAGCAGGGGTTCCTTAAGTGCCAAAAGACCTCTGATTATCCCAGCGCACACTTTTCTCGCCTTCCCAAGCTTGCAGATCAGCTTGTTATGCTTTGTGAAGGGGAGGTTAATGCGAGCTTCATGGGTGACCCTGATTGCTCAGATGGAATCACCCTGGGACGACACTAAAGATGCTTTCAGCTTCTAGTGATGTGCTTTCTGGATCGTATAATTCAACTTCCCATCAACTGTTGGTGCATCTAGATGAATATTCCCTATTCTGAGTGGCAGCAGCTCTCCCAGAATCTTTCTGAACCCTCCCCCTGAAAATACTGGGGTTTAAACCCAGGATGTTCTGCATGTGCTCTGTTAGGGCTCTTCCTCATGAAATGCTGGTGAAATGTATAAATAGAGGAAACTGTCCATACCCCTGATATGAGCTCAGTATTATTGTACACTGTGTGGCACTGATCTGGAATCTTTTGCATCAAAGTCTATGCTCTCCCGTTGCACTGTGCAGAAATAATAGTCTGTATCATGGATTGGAATGTCTGGCCTTCTTGATTTATTTATTTTATTTATACCCTGCCCGTCTGGTCTTGCAACCACTCTAGGCGGCTTCCAGATGCATAAATAAAAACATACAAATGATGTTGCTGGGCCTCCAATCCCATCTCGCCCCACACCCATGCTGGATATCCTGGCTGCAGCTGATGGGACATACAGTCTTAACACTCCCCCATTTCTGTTTCCTAAAATTTGTGGCTGTTATCAGAGTGAGCTGGGCATCTCTGAATGCTGGAAATGGTCTTGGTCAGAAAACAAGAGTTGTCTAGCTCTTTCCCCACTTAACAGCCCGATTCCCTTCTGTTCCAGGACTACAGGATCCCTGAGATCAGTTTGTTCTCCGAGGAGAACGGAGAAGGCACAAAGCAGAAGTTCACAGATTCCTCAGAGGACACGCAGATCCACGGCCAGCCCTTGAAGGCAGCTTCCATCATTGTACACTCCGGCCTGTGAGAGAAATGTTTATGTTGCCTTTTTAAAATCAGTTTAGACATTGCTTACTCAGAGCTTTGGGAATGTGACTTTGCTGGACAACAACTCCCAGAATCCCCCACCAGGGTTGCTAGCTAAGGGGATTGTGGGGACTGTAGTCAACCAAAATAAGATTTCTAAGCTCTGCACTTACTTGATCTAAAATGGTATCTCTGAAAGTGTGAAGAGAAATAAATAAATGTTTTTTTAAAAAAGAATCAAAGCAAGCATTAAAAAGTACAAAACTAGTCATCAGTTAATATACTGAATATTATGGGCTCAGAAGGCAGTTCTCAGATTGGATGGTACGATCAGCCAGGAGGCCTGATGGTAAAGAGCAGGTAGGTTCCTTATCATGCATTCAGAGATACACTGAGCACAGTGTTCTTGGAGCTGCATTTAAAAAAAAAAAACACCAAAAAGCCCTTTTGATTTCTGATTATATCTTATCTTTAATGTAAAGGTAAAGGTTCCCCTTCACATTTAGCCCAGTCACGTCCGACTCTAGGGTGTGGTGCTCATCTCTGTCTCCAAGCCGTAGAGCCGGCATTTGTCTGTAGACAGTTTCCGTGGTCACGTGGCCAGCGCGACTAGACACGGACATGGTGGGACCTATTTATCGCATTTTTACATGCTTTCGAACAGCTAGGTTGGCAGGAGCTGGGACAAGCGACAGGAGCTCACTCCATTGCGTGGATTCAATCTTATGACTGCTGGTCTTCTGACCTCGCAGCACAGAGGCTTCTGCGGTTTAACCCGCAGCGCCACCACGTCCCCATCTTACTCTTAGTCCCTTCCATATCCTGCAGGTGGCTTCTTTACTCAAAACCATTCTTTGATGATGACCCTTACGTGTTGGAACCAGGAGGGTATCCCAACCGGCATGCCTGGGGAGCAAAGGACCCCTCCATCTGCTCCATGCATCCAATTAAGCTGGTAAGGTTTCTTCAGACACCCTTTCCTCTTGTTGTAAACCGTGCCTGTGCACAGCTGCTGTGTCTTTCTCATGCCTGTCATCCATTCACTTAATGTTTCCATTTTCTAGTTCAGGATGGTCATAACTTTGGATGTGTTTCTACTAAGACTCCCTCATTGGTGCCTGGTGCAAAAGAGGAGTGCACACAGGCCAATAAGATATACAATAAGAAGGAAGGAATAGAGTCTCCCCGAGCACATGCTCACCCTAGGAATTTGTAATCAGTACCAAAACCCAGTGTGGTGCAGTGGATAGAATATGGGGTTATGATCCAGGAAACCTGAGTTCGAATCCTCACTCAGCCAGTGGGGAGGTAATACTGGTAAAAACACTCCTTGAAAACCCTTTAGGGTTACTATAAGTCGGTTCAACTTGATGGCACATAACAACAATAACAATGAAAACCCAATTCAGAAGCTTTTATGCGAATCATATAAGGTCAAAATGTAAATCAGCTGAAATTCTGTAGTTCACTTGCATGTTGCTAATCCAGTTGTGACCCCAACATTGCTGATGACTGCTGGATAACTCAGCGATTTAGGTATCCAGATGTTGGGGCTTCTATTCCCCATTGGGCTTCGTTGACAGGGGCTGGACTTGGTGATCCTTAGAGTCCCTTCCAGATCTGCAGTTCTAAGATGATGATGATGATGATGAGTGGTCTATGGATTGACTTGTTGCAGAGCTATGAGCTGGCAAGGACGAAAGGCCTGGCTTCTCACCAAGGCTGATGGCCACACCCATGTCTTCTCCTACCCTCTAGAGCAATGGTCCCCAACCTTGGCGCTCCAGATGTTCTTGGACTTCAACTCCCAGAAACCCTAGCCAGCAGAGGTGGTGGTGGTGAAGGCTTCTGGGAGTTGTAGCTCAAGAACATCTGGAGGCTCAAGGTTGGGGACCACTGCTCTAGACTCTTGTCTTCCTCAGCCTTGGGGAATGACAGCTGACAGAACTGACACCATTTTGAACTGGAAAGGAGGACAGGACGGTCAGAATTGTTCGTGGAATTTTCACTTCCGTTTATTCTCTTTTCAGGGCAGTCCTGTTGTCGAAAATCCTGGCGAACCCAAGGTGAGACAAAAGCTGATTCTCCCTGCACTTGATCACAGAGCAGATGGGAGCGGGCGGGGGAGACGAGAAGTAAATCTAGTTGCAGAATCAGTTCTCTTATCAAAATGCATACTTTCTGGATCTCAGCACTTTAGATCTCCACTTTAAAGGCAGAATAAAAGAATACCAAACATTCCACTAAGTTGGTTTGGCAGGAAAAATGCACAATAAATAGGTAGCGTGGTGTTTTGGGGAGGAAGAGTATTAGAATGTTTAAAAGTAGCAGCAGTGGAATGGTTGCAGAACATTTTATCTAGGAAAGAAGAAACCCTAGAAGTAGCCTGTTCCTTAGGGGGCTTATGAAAGAATAAAAACATTTGGTTTTTATTGCTCATGTGAACATCTATTTTTTTAATAAAAATGTGTGTTGTGTGTGTAAGGTTTATTCATTACTTCCTGCATATTCTGAAAGAAATGTTTAGGGATTTTTGGTTATTTAGGGTTATTTTTCTATAGTTCAACATGTATATGTAAATATAAATGCCCTAGCATCAGGAATGTATATAAATACGCATGTATAGTTACCATAGTCTTTCGAGACTGAAGGATGCCTAATGCATGTATAAAAACTACCTCAAAATGGCTTCCAGAATATGTGGGAGCTCTTGAGAAGCTTAGCTTCCACCTGCTTCCTTACTCCTGAACTGTAAACTTTAAAGCTTGATAAATTCAAGCCCGATCAAGTAGTTCAGCCATTTTACTCTCTTTAGGTCTAATTTATTGTCCACATTTTCCCTCTCTCTCTCTCTACCTGCAGGCCCTAATTTATGAAAGGCCACATTTCCAGGGCTGTAGCTGGGAAGTGAGTCGAGATATTTATGACTTGAAGAAGCCAGAAAACAACCAGCACTCCAAGATGCTGAGGGCAGGCTCTCTGAGAATCATGGGTGGCTGGTGAGTGGAAGAACTTGTTGCAAGAAAGAGGAAATACCCTTGAAATTCATTTAATTAATTCATGGAAAGACGCCGTGTCCTGAGTCACAGCCTTGATCCCGCTAGCTCACATTCTGATAAGAGTCTCAAGCAGGGAAACGTTATTGGATTAGCTACCCTTTGTCTAGAGTAGACAAAAGATAGCCGTGTGGAGTGTGGAATGTGGAGACATCGTTTTTTCGGCCAGCGTGGCAAATTTCAGCCAGCGTGGCAAATCCACCACTAGCTGGGGATTTTTTACAGTCCAAAAGGTAATTTATCCAAGCTCTACCTTTAATGAGCAACACAAGAGGTACACACAAAGTTTTGTGCTGCAAAACAGGGTATCCAGTAGCCAAAATTCTACGTGTTGTCTATTATGGCTGAGATGCTATAACCCTTCTGTAAAGCTGGCTGGCTCCATTGTAAACCCTACAGAGTCTGACCAGTGGGTTTCAGGTCCCCCCCCCCACAGACCCAATCTAGCCAAACCTGGCTCATCTAGGCTCAAGATGCACACAAACTGCAGTTCATGCAAGTTTGGTTTTTATTTCAGTCAAAGAGGTGTTTGGAACTTCTCCTCTTTCTGCACGGACACTGGCAGACTTCTGCTGTTGTATATTCTCTGCCTTTACAACCTGCTAGCAATGTTGTAAGAACAGGAATCTGTGGCAAGCATCCAGAGCTGTACTCTTCACATTTTTTTTAAAATGAAGTAATATACAGTATATTGCCATCTGAAAAAAGGGGTCCACCCAAGACCCTAATGTTCACTGTCCCGGTCACTTTTTTGGAGATTGCAGTTTCTAGAGTCTCCAGCCAACCTGGCAACCTGTGGTTTGGTTACAAGATATATCTCTTACAGGCCAAAAAAGGAACTATTGAAAGCTGAGGTAGAGGCCCGTCCAGACTGGCTGTTTGGAGTATGGGGTGGATGGGGCTACGAAGGGTCTGTCGAGGTGGTGTGGGGAGGAGCGATATGCCATTTGGCATGCTCCTCCTGTCCCAACAGCAAATGACCCCAATCCGCTATCAATTAAGTGCTTCCCCTGATCATCTGCAGAGGATCAGGGGAAGCGAAAGTACAGTACTTTTTTATGTTGCTCCTCTCTCCCTCTGTCCCTGCCATTCTGTTTTCTCCCTCCTCCTCTTCCCTGCTTCTCTTCTCTTTTTCTCTCTCCCCCCCTCTTACTCAGAGGGTGTTATTTCCCAGTTAAACAGAACAGGCCAAAAAGAATGCATGCCCTCCTGCTGTGGCAGAAAGGTGCATGACAGCACTTAAAGGGGAAGGAAGGCTCTATCTAAATATAAAGCCAAGCAGGAGCAGGCTTTTTTTTTCTTTCCTCAAGCCTATCCGTACTCTCAACGATCCATAGATCATATCAGTATGCTTGTATGGATAAACTCTAAGGCAAGACATGTAGATGGGTCCCTGGCAGACAAACAGAAAAGACTTGTCTTTTGGCGCAAGGGATATTATCTGTTTCCTGTGGAGTTTGAAAAAAACAGCTAAGCAGAAATGACAGTAAATTGAAAAGATGGGGGGAGACAGTTGTGTCTGTTTTTCTTCCACCTGCCTGTTCTTATGATTGGGCTGCTTTCCTCTCTTCAGCTGGGTGGGTTATGAAAAGGAAGGTTTCCGTGGCCACCAGTACCTGCTGGAGGAAGGAGAATACTACGACTGGACCCAATGGGGAGGCTATGATGAAGAGCTAGTGTCACTTCGGCTGATCCGAACGGTGAGAATTCCTGCTAGTATTTGGCTCACAGGTTAGAGGTAGAAGATTTAATGCCCTGCTCAAGGATTGGTGTGTGTGTGTATGGTTCATAGAATAAAAGACTCACAGCCATGGAGGGAGAAAGTTTCCCTTATATGTCACTACACCCAAATGTCTGAAGCCAGAAGTGCCAAGGAGCACCAACCCAATCCAAATAGCGGAGGAGAAGCCCAAGGGAAGCAGAAATACCAGAAAAAGATTTTCAGCAGCAAATTGCTGTTAATTAACAAGTCCCCACTTAGATTCCTCATTGGGAGCTTTTCAGGTGGCTTGAAGCATGGCCGGAAAACCAAGTGGGGACTCTTTAATTAGTGTCAATTTGCCAGTGCAACGTATACTGTTTACCTTCTATCAGCATACCTATGCAAAAAGATTTTGTCCAAGAGATCTAAAACCAATCCATATTGACCAGGCTGAGCTCACGTGCTTCTTGCTCCAAAGTTACTTTCTTTGTCGTCCATGAAAGTAACTTAGGTAATCTTGCCTTTCAACCAGAGTTAGAAACAATGGTGTAAAATTGTTTTCCGACTCTGATTTTGAGAGAAAGCATAAACCATTGTTTATCGAACTGTGGCACAAAGAGGGATTTCTAAACCATCTCATCCTAGTTTGATAAAATATGGATTATTTTTTCAGCGTCTTTGTATTAAGTTTTGGGCAACTTTGAGAACAGATTTTGTAAAAAGGCAATACCTAAATTACTGTTGTAATTTTAACACCAAAGTACTGTTCCTTGCTACTGGCCTTTTGATTAGTTATTTCCTTCTCCAAGACCCGGGAGAAGCCCAGTCTCTGTTTGATGCTGATAAAATGGCATACCTTTCTCTTGCTGCACGAAGAGGTTTTTGTGACTGTTGTTTTTCTCTCCTGAACAGGATTTCTTGGATCCAGCCCTTGTGCTGTTCGAGGCAATGGACTTTGAAGACGGCCCCAGCATTGAGCTCAGCGAAGCATTGCCAGATGTTGAGCTTGCCAGTTATGGGACAACCACACAGTCCATCCATGTCCTGAGTGGCGTGTGAGTATTCTCAGTCAAGGCGGAGAAAGACGGGCCAAGAGAGAGAGAAAAGAAAGGATGCTTGTTTGAAAAACGGAGAGCAAAAAGCAGATCGGAGAAAGGCAAACCTAAACATGGGCAATTGCATGAAGATTGGGATCTATCGTGGTCCAAGAGCCAGTCAAGGCAGAGAAAGACGGGCCAAGAGAGAGAGAGAAGAAAGGATGCTTGTTTGAAAAAACGGAGAGCAAAAAGCAGGTCGGAGAAAGGCAAACCTAAACATGTGCAATTGCGTGAAGATTGGGATCTATCGTGGTCCAAGAGCAGACTGGTTCAAAAGCAGCAATAACATATCACCTTTGCTAAGGCCAAGTGCGAAATCTTGAAGCAGGTGGATGTTTGGAAATATCAAAATGCTTCGTCCTGCTGGATGATGAACTGGGTCATGAGTCGTTGAGGTTATCCACTTTCCATTTCCATGGCTAGGTGGATGGCCTACGAAGGCAAGAATTTCACAGGGGAACAATATTTCTCCTGGAATCTACCATTTTTAATAGGTTAAAATGGAATGGAGGTTGTGTTCCACAGATCTAAGGAAATTTGACCATGCTTAATAGAAGCAGATCCCAGGTTGCATCAAAAGCTAACGCAGCTACGCTTAGCTGGTCACCTTGGATTAAACTAACCATCCCCATCATCTCCCATCAGCATGCTGGGGATGATGATGAGGGTAATGGGTGTTGTAGCCCAACTTATCTGGAGAGTGAGAAGCAGAGCTATGTTGCATGCATTAATATCAATAGACAGAGATAGTGGCCAGTCATTCATGCAGATGTAGTATAACAGATGCTGGCCATTACTCTGGCAACAATGAATTGTGTTGTGCAATTGCACAATCGGCTGCATGTCTCTGGAACAACCGATTGTACAATCGTTCTGCCACAGTGCTTTGGGGATCACACTTCTGCTTCAGTGCTAGCACAACTACTGCAGGTGTCGTCCTGAGTTCCATGTGCATAGTTGCACAATGAGATTTCGGACAGTGTGTTTCAAAGCTGCCAGGAGTCCAGAATTGGGAGGTCATGGTTTCAGATGCAAAAAACGTGGATGTTTTAGTAACTGGGTCGTGAGTCGTTGAGGTAACCCACTTCCCATTTCCATGGCTAGGTGGGTGGCTTACGAAGGCAGGAATTTCACGGGGGAACAATATATCCTGGAGAAAGGCGTGTACCGCAACTGCGAAGATTGGGGAGCCAGCGACTGCCAGATCTCCTCCGTGCAACCTATCCTACAGGTAAGGATCCATCCAGAACTCCGTGTTCATTCCTCACAGAAACCGTGTTCCCAGTTCTAGCTCCCATTCAGTCTGAAACCACCTCCACCTCTGCCTTCTGTCTTCCTGGAAATCTTTAAACCTCCAAACAGAAGATTACAAAAAAAGTTTTTTTTGCTGGTAAACTACTGCACAGTTCTCATGACTATTAATAGCCAGCTATGACTATGAGCATTCATGTATTAGTCGAATTGGTCTCTTTTAAGCTGGAGACCATCATGACATCTTGTAGTAATGAATTCTATAGTTTGACATTGTGATTTCCAGGATGATCAGATCAAAGGTGGAACATTCAAGTTCTCTAGCCAGGCTCGATGGCCGTTTCTCTCTCTTGCTCATTCTCTTTGTCCTTCTGTCCCTAACAGGTTGGGGAACACAGTCTACACTTCGTTTCTAAGGTAAGTATCTGGAATTTAAAAGCAAGGAATGAGTATGTTTCCCACCCATTAGTACAAGTAGTTCTAATGATACTAAAAGTGAGGTTGCTACAATAAACATAGACAGAATTATTTAACCATTAATAAATATGGCCTCCTTATATTAAGACCTCAAGGTTTGTATGCATTTTTAAAAAAAGAAAAACCTTAATTTTAGTTTTATCATGCCTTTCTTCCAGTCCTAGGATCAAAGACTGCTTACAGTATACCATATTTTTCGCACCATAAGACGCACTTTCCCCCCACAAAACAGGGGGGGTGGAAAGTCTGTGCGTCTTATGGAGCGAAGAAAACAGATTATATTTTCCTGTTTTCTTTTCCTAAAAAATTGGTGCGTCTTATGGAAAGGTGCGTCTTATGGAGCGAAAAATACGGGTAATTAAAAACAAGTACTGGAGACCCCCTTATCTGTTGAGTCTCTTATCCACAGTTTGGAATTATGAAAAATATTACAAGAAAAATCCTAGAAATATGCATTTCTAAAGATGAAGTTATCAGAACTGGCCACTAGAGGGAGTCAGAAACCATGCTATGTATTGTGTTTGCTATTATTTTGCTATACAGTAATTTGCATTTTTCACATCATCAGGGGAATCAATGTCCCATAGATACAGGGATCTTACTATAGACTAAAGTCAAAATCAGTTATCTGTCAATAGAATTAAAACAATTAGAATATTAGCAAACAAGTAAGTTAAAATTCAAACTGATAATCAATAAAATACACTTTAGAAAGAGAAAGAGAGGCATGCCAGTGTGGAGTTGAATGTGTCTAGGTTGGATTTAGGTGGCATCTGGGTTCTTGTTAGAGAGTGATCAGGAACATTGCAAAGTCCTGTGACACGCAAGGAGTCCTTCAGTCGGGGTGTGGGCCCACATTGATCGTCTTGAACGGTTGAGGTTTCCTCCAGAGAATTTTACTGAACATCGTAACTGGGTGACTTTTCTGAGAGTTCTCTTTTAGAGATTTCTTTATACCTGCATCCTCTGAGATCCACGGGGTTCCTTTGGGAAAAGGAAAGACCACCCGGGTTCCATGTGGCGTGTAGCTATTCCCGGGTTTGTCAACCGCAATCCTTCCCTCTTTGCTGGCTCATATCTGGCCTTTGGGTTCTCCAGATCCAGCTTTTCTCGGATCCAGACTTCCTGGGGCACCAGGTCTCTTTTGAGGAAGACCAAGAATCCCTTCCAGAGTATTTCATCCCACGCTCCTGCAGGGTCAATGGAGGCAGGTAACAATGTTTTACCAGTTGGGCAACTAAAAAAAAAAGGTATAATAGAAGTTGGGAAAGCTACTTTTTGACCAGTTTCTCTCAGAATCCTTGAGGGCCTTGCTGGCTGTGAGATTTGTAGTCCAAAATGGTCACTCTGCTGGGTTCTCTTAAGGATCTGAACAGTCCGATAAGGAATACTTCGTTGGGTCTAAGGATTTAGGATCTCACCAACTTCTTTTTCATTCTCAATATCATGAGCTTGAAAGTGCCATTTGTGAAGTGTTCATCTAAAGAAAACACAAAACTTGACCTGCGTTAAAAGCCATTCAGTTTTGTCTTAATTTGAGGTTGTGTGTCTTGTTCTGACCAATTTTTGGAATGGCTTTTAAAGCTCTGGTTTGTGGCTCAGAGGGACGTGCTGGTGCTGTGGGTTAAACCGCAGAAGCCTCTGTGCTGCAAGGTAGAAGACCAGCAGTCGTAAGATCGAATCCACGTGACGGAGTGAGCTCCCGTCACTTGTCCCAGCTCCTGCCAACCTAGTGGTTCGAAAGCATGCAAAATGGAAAAATGCGAGTAGATAAATAGGTACCACTTCGGTGCAAAGGTAAACAGCATTCCGTGTCTAGTCATGCTGGCCACGTGACCATGGAAACTGTCTGCGGACAAACGCTGGCTCTATGGCTTGGAGACGGGGATGAGCACCATGCCCTAGAGTCGGACACAACTGGACTCAGTGTTAAGGGGAACCTTTACCTTTTTACCTTGGGGCTCAGAGGTTGTTCCCACAGGATACAGTTATCCTGTAACTTTCCTTCGAATAGCACAATTCTCCAAACTTGCAGTGCATTTCATTCTGTTCCTCTACCATATGTGTACACTAGAGATGGGTGTGAACTGCTGGTTTGGCACTTCGGCCCACTTTGTTTCCCTGCTTAACATCTGGGTCGGTAGTTCAGCACCCCACCCCCTTGTTTCCTCCAGGCACTGATGTTGAGTGGGTGCCCGCTGGAGGGAGTGGAGTGCTGAACCTCAGATCATCTGTTTGGCCAGTTCGTTTCCCTGCTGAACAGCTGGGTCGGTAGTTCAGCACCCGACCCCCTCCAGCGGGCACCCACTCTGCAGCAGTACCCTGAGGGAGTGGAGTGCTGAACCTCAGATCATCTGTTTGGCCAGGAAATGAACCAGTGATTTGTGCCCATCATTAGCAGACACACATGCATGCATGCATGCATGTGCACGCACGCGCACACACGCACGCACACATGCACACAAACTATTTTTTCACAAAATTCAGAATGTATATGTATGTTACCCTCGAAAAAATATTTTTGTATGCATTGACTCAGATATGAATACATACTTATGATGCAACTTTCATCAGCAAATTGCCACAAGCCGAGAAATTAGCCTAGGTGTTTGCTGTTGCACATCAAGCCCCATCAAATACCTATGCAGACTTTTTAACTTGCTAAAATTCACTGCTGAGATTTATGGCCATGAAACTATGCCAGAAGGCATAACTAAGAGGATTCTGGCCACTCTATCAAAAAAACCCTGAAATGTTGCCCATATTTTAATTTTCTTTTAAAAAATCCCATGGATTTTGGCAAGTAACTTACACAAGAACTTTGTTGCAAAACTCAAAGAATGAGAGAGTGTCATCTAATTTACACTGTTAGTATAGAAAGTGAGAATCAAATCCATTAATAAGGTAGACCAAACAAAATTCTCAAGGATTAGCCACCACACTTCAAGAACGATGCTGACAAATTGGAGCAAATTCACAGGAGGGCAACAAGGAGGATCGGGGGCTGGAAATCAAGCCCCAAGAGGAAAGATTGAAAGAACTAGCCATGTTTAGCCTTGAGAAAAGAAGACTGAGGGGAGATAGGATAGCACTTTTCAGATACTTGAAAGGCTGTCATCCAGAGGAGGGGCAGGATCTGTTCTCAGTCATCCCAGAGTGCAGGACACGCAACATTATGGGCTCAAGTGACAGGGAGCCAGATTTCTGATGAAGATCAGGAAAAATCTCCTAACTGTTAGAGCAGTTTTTATTTATATTTACTTATTTATTAAATTTGTATCCCTCTCCCATTAGTGTCACAGCACTACTCTGGGTGGGCTACAACTTGTAAAATAGAAAACGAAAACAAAAATAAGACAGTGGAACCAATTGCCTCGAGAGGTGGAGAGTGCTTAAATCCTGGAAGCATTCAAGAGACATTTAGACAACCCCCTGGCAGATATCCTTTGATTTGTATTCCCGCATCAGGCAGGGGGTTGGGCTTGATGGCCTTATAGGCCCCTTCCAACTTCGCCATTCTATGATTCTGTGATTCTGTTTGGCCACAGGCAACTATTGTCCGTGTAACTTCACAATTCTATGATTCTGTGATTCTGTTGTTTGGCCACAGGCAACTATTGTCCGTGTTATCATGATAATGCTTTTTTTGAACAGCATTTACAGCACAAAGCGTGAATGTGCTCTTTTGTTTCCTTTCAGTTGGATTCTCTATGACGGCCAGCAGTTTGAAGGGGAACAACACGTCCTCTCCGAAGGCGAGTATCCAACGTTGACGTCCATGGGTTGCCTCTTCACCACAGCCATCTGCTCGCTGAAGAAGGTCCCCATAGTAAGTTCTCAGCATGGAAATCCGTGAGGTGCTGTCTGAGTGTTTATTTAGAGGTCTTTTCCATATTGCCTGACAGTAAGGTCAACAAGGTGAACTCCTGGATAGCTCAGTGGTTTAGGTATCTGGAGTTTGAGAGTTCGTTTCTCCCCACAGTGCTTCCTTGACAGAGGCTGGACTTGATGATTCTCCCCACAGTGCTGTCCTTGACAGAGGCTGGACTTGATGAGCCATTGGGTCCCTTCCAGCTCTGTACAGTGGTGTCTCGCTTGAGGACATTAATCCGTTCCAGCGAAATCGCTGTAGAGCGAAATCATCGTCAAGCGAAATAAAAAAGCCCATTGAAATGCATTGAAAACCGTTCAATGCATTCCAATGGGCGAAATACCTTGTCCAGCGAAGATCTTCTATAGGGTGGCCATCTTCTGCTCCCTGTGTAGCGAAAAATCCATCCTAAAAACAGCGGGGAGCCATTTTGCACAGCAGGTGGCCATTTTGGTAACCCAACAATCTGCTGTTTTGATTGTAAAGCGAAAAATCGGTTCCCGAAGCGGGGGACCGATCATTGTAAAGCGTTTCCCCCCCATTAGAACATTGTTTTGTGATCGCAAAAAACTCATTGTCAAGCGGATTTGTCGTTTAACGAGGTAATCGTTAAGCGAGGCACCACTGTAGTTCTAAGATTATTATAAAAGAAAGGACCATTTCTGACAATATAGAATTAACCTGCAGAACACCTTGTCATAATATATGACGCTGGCAGATATAGTCTTTAAAAAAATGTTTAAATATGTATATGAATGACAATATCAGTGGCCATGAGCCTTGATGGCTAAGTGGAACCCCCAGTTCCAGAGCAGTATTGCACCGGCCAGAATCCCTTTGGTGTTTCTAGAAGTTTTGTGTATCTCAGTACAACTAATTGTGATAAACTGAAGAGGTGCTGAAGAGTACGCCTCAATTGCATGCATTTTCAGATATCTGATTGGGTGACTGAAATACGTCCTGGCACTTTGTCAGTTAATCACAATTAGCTGTAAACCTTACATGAACATTGGTAGGATGCTGGTCACTGAATGAATATGATCAGCAGTGGATGTTGTGGGAGGGGTGGGGAGGGCTGATGCTTTATGGTAAGAATCTGTTTTGGCCCAAAGGCCAAATTCAATTTAAAGGAAATTCTTGGGTTCCATGTTTCAGAGACAGGCAGGCCAAAGCAAACTGGTGGAATGGATTAAACCAGCATATTTGAGTGTAGTCGTCTTACTGCCTGTAACAAAATATCAGTAGCCCCCATTCAAAAGCTTGGAAAACATCAAACTGTGGGAAGGCAGATTCCCTGTG